ACTCGTCTCACTGTGAGCCTTCACGCGATGCTCGTTCTGCTACATTTTCATGTTCGTCACCGACTTCGCGCAAAACAAGGCTGATCTGCAAGCTGGCTTCAAATTCGAGTGTCATGGGAACCTGTCACTCGTGATCTGCCCTATACAAAACATATCTAATAGTCTTGATTCCGTTTTGCATTGCGGGCACAAATTCTACATTTTCACTGTGTTGTGTGTAGTGTGACTGCTTTATTTACGTACGGCAACTACAGTAATGATGCTAACTTGCGTAGCATGAATCATGTCGCCCTGGGTGTCCGTGTTTCATTTCGCATCCGACATGGAAATCAATTGTTTTTGTTAGTATTTAGGTCGTTACCAGCCTGCGGACTATCTCTTCAATGCAAATATTTGTGCTGCAAACGTGTCTTCGGCAGTGACCGCAAACTACAACATTCCATCCCATCAGAGAAGTAATCATCCAATGACATCAGCCAGACGGGAGCTGTCCGTAATCAGACCGATGAGACCTGATGTGACCTTGCCATTAGCATGCCGTAATGAATGAAGGCAGATTTCCCACGTTTGGCCTCGCATTGCTTGTACAGGATGAATAATGGAGTTTCGCTACCTTGGAAGTCCAAAGATGGGCAGCGGGTATGGAGTGAGAAGCCTATTTCGCGCCAGTACGACCGTGAGTTTCTGTGTACGTCGAGAAAGATACAACCCAAGAGGTATCCAGACTGTCTAATGCGATATAGCACGCACATAGCCACGCAAGTCGTGTGCGAAGGCATGGCCGACGCCTTCTTGGCCTCTTGTACCATACACAGACAACAGGAACCAGAAAAGGTGAAACGATATATATGTTCTGTCGCTGGGACATAAAGAACACCTGCTACACACTTGGCCACCTGGCAAAATGAGTAGCATGTCATGCGACTTTGCGCTTCGCATGTATACACTGCACGCTAGTATATACTTCGCCGCAAAGAGCTTTGAAGCGTATCAGATCGTGTATGGAATCTAAAGACGGACAGACTCATGCCAGGTGGCCGCCCCATCGTTATTAAAGCCTGAGTTCCCACCCCCTCCCTACGTGACCGCGTTGCCCGTGCCCGCCTGTGTTACTGGGTCAAGCCTGTTTGAGTTGGAGCGCACGGCGGCTTCTGTTGCGCGCCCACTGGCGCACCCCGCGCTGCAGTGAGTCTGGTGACTCAGGCGCTGCGGTGGCAACCCGCGTTGCAGTGCGTCTGATGACTCAGGCGTTGTGGTGGCAACCCGCGCTGCAGTGAGTCTGGTGACTCAGGCGCTGTGGTGGCAACCCGCGCTGCAGTGAGTCTGGTGACTCAGGCGCTGTGGTGGCAACCCGCGCTGCAGTGAGTCTGGTGACTCAGGTGCTGTGGTGGCAACCCACGGCGGTTTTTGAGGAATACTGCTCGGCGATCTACGGCCGGCGCGGGTGGCGGGCGGTAACCGGCGATACCGCGGAGCGCGCGCGGCGGGACAACTTGTTACATTAACGGAACAAAATTTTCTAAACCAAACATAAAATACACACTGTTGTGCTCAGAATTGAACAAGGAACACGTCTTTCAGGTTTTGAGGCGTCACAAGGCATGGCCCCGTATCTATGATTTTGTAAAGCTGAAAAGTGCGATTTTCTGGAAAATTTGACTTTTGACTTGGCAAAGTGAAGTTAATCATTAACCTAACAACATCAAAACTGGTGGCAATGGCGATATCTCGTTGAGAACAGCCCAATGAGGTTTCTGCTAAGCTCTAACTCCATTGATTTGGAAATGCTAGGGAAAGGGTCGCGCCAACACCGCGAGCAGTCCGCGTTATGAAGAACGGCGAATCAGGGCGAGGCTCAACACAACGCGGTGAAAGTTAAGACGAGCCCCAGCTCTGGCGTCGAACTCACTCACTCCTATGAGTCCCGGATACTCATGATCGATGTTAATATCATTACCACCACACGCGTTTCTAATAGTACCCTTTGTATCCCTGTCAAGACCGTCACAAGTGAAAATAACAGACGGAAGAGGAAACAGAGCTTCTCAAAAATGGGATATCGATACATTTGTATGCATTCCAAAACCTTCAGCAGGATCTCGTAGAGCGCATACGGCATTGCTAATTGGATGTCACACCATAGTCAACGAATCGGTTTATCAGAAGTCATGTATCGATAACAGACGTCTTCTCTGAAAAAGTAACGGGGCCAAACTGAGCATGGATTCCAAATCCATGCTTGGTCTCTGGCAATGGCTGGGTTGACGGGATTGGGCGGTCCATTCATTGCTCCAGGTCATTCAGCGTCGCAGCTGCTCGGGTCGGTGGAATCGGATGGCACAACCTCATGCAACATTAAGTCTGTGTTAGAGGCTTTCATGAAGAGGCACTCCTGGCCCCTGCCCACGGGGTTGTGCTCATACGTGCACCCACTACCCATTCCTAATCCATCGTTCCCTTTTGTTGCGCACCCGTTTTGCACTTGGGTAACACTGTAGTCCCAAATTATGGAATGGTTTCATGAACGCTTACACCCAAATATGCTGTTTTATCTGATAGTGTCACAATAATATATATATATATATATATATATATATATATATATAATATAAATATATATATACATGAAGCCAAGTACAATTAAGACAAGCGCAAACCTGACAGCGTAGTGCAGTATTTCTTGCATCTTCCCAACATTTCTCAAGCATCTTATCCACTTACATTCCCGTCCTTATGTTCCCAGAATCTGCACCCAGCCCAGATCGTGAGCACTCCAGCATCCATGAGTGTATGCAATCCGTGTAATCCTTTAGTCCGACCCCACATTCTCGCTACCGTACGTAACGCATTCTGCCAGCGGAGCGCGACGCCCCGGGCTATCATTGAAGCGTGGCGCACATAGAGTTGGGGCATTGCTTTTTCACGTAACAGAGCTGGACTGAACTGCCGACCGCCATGACTGCACTTAACTGGCGGAGCTCGAGCTGGTGTCGCCTGATGGAATGGAGTGCCTTCACCTCTGGTGTTCACCGTCGTAATCCAGTTTCTAATCGCAGATCCGTGAGACCTTGACCCGCAAGCTTGAAAACGATCACACCAATGTGCTTGAATTGCTCACCTTATGACCTACGATCTTTGACCCATGACCTCGGTTACTCAACGCACGACTGTTTGCAGCCGGAAGTGCCCAAGCCAGGCAGCGAACTGTGGTTATTTACCTCGGGCACGTGACGCTGACTGACGACCTCTCTAAAAGCGATGCAATGAGGATGCGGCTACCTGTTTTGTGGCATTGGCTTTTGATGGGCAATGCCACGGCATTGGGCGGCCCATGGTTAAATTTCAGTACACAGGCAAACGCCTGCAATACAGGTCAGAGCATTTGTGCTGCTCCACCAGAAACAACACTTTCAAATCATTACCCTGTTGCATACATTAGTTCATTACCGGGGCTTCGGCTGGCGTTCAAACTGGTCTATAACACAGCATGACACTTTAGGGCATTGTTCTTCAATGTATCTTGAATCCTCGCATCAGTTTTGCGTTCAACTGATTTAGATGAAGGATACCTCGGCTCTTGAATTTCGGGAACGAACGATTCCAAAGTACATGATTGCTAAATGGTGATGTAGGACTGATAGCGCTGCTTACGAGATTGACTTTCCGTGTCATCGTGTTAGCCATAACACATTGCATATATTTGTGTTCTCATGCAAAACATGAGTGCATATACACTGCGTAGCTGGAGCGTCGTACATAAATACATCTGTTGATAATTGTTGCAGCACGTACGACAATGCGCCATATGTACGGTCGATGTTACGACCGCGATCACAAACTTTCGGAAGTAGATTTTAATGAAGAAGACGTTGCAGGCAAGCGCGTGGCCCGTTGGGGCTGGGGACCCAAAGACCCTTGCCCTACCACGAGAAGAGACTACACCGACACTGCCATTCGGCATTGGAGCCCAGCTGACGGAAGTTCGCTGAATGACAAGGTCACCGGTGAGGCACTTGGTACTTGGACAAACTGGTCCCTGTGGCTCCAGTTATCGTGGTCATTACATTACCGACAAATGGGCTTTGTGGTACAATCTGCGAGTCTTTGGCAATGCTTGGAAGGTGTAGCGAACAAGAGACAATGACGCTCAACTCCAAGTTTCGGACTTACTTTGAACCTTGCTGCGCATAGAATAGTTGCCAGTTGTTAGCAATGCGCAAAACCTAAAAGTGATACCATTGAGTCTTATTTTGTGGGAAATCACGGTAAGCAATCGCTCAAAACGCAATAATTTCAAAAACGTGTTTGATAAGGAAATTATCTGTCACATATTCGTCTCCTGGAAACTGCATGTAACGTGATAAGTATATCGGAGGAAATGGGGAGCCAGGTTTTGATGTCCACTTGAAACATCCTGAAGCAAGCCGCTAGGTTATCTTTGACGTGTATCTCCCAAAGAACGAGAAGACGTGCTCACCGTGCAATGGCGCCTTCAAAAGACGGTGCCATTTTATATTTTTGGGAGCGTTCCCTCACTCAACACGTAAAGCTATAATGGGACGCATTGCAAAAAATACATTTCATTCATTGCAGGTCAAGCTAGAACAAATGCATCAATTGAAGAAATATTTGCGGATTGTTTCAAGTTTCCTATCAGGACCTGGCGTACATTGCGCCCAGTTTATCATTCATTTGTGTTATATGTATGCATGGATGGCACTTGAAAAATATCCACCTGAAACGATGGTTTTAAACTGTTTCGGCGAATATACAGGTCATGTCCCATGCGGCAAATTATTTGAGAGCAAAAGACGGCAATGCTTTCGTGCACCTATAAATACACCAGCGAGCTTAGCCATCTCATTAAGAGCGATTTGAAGCCAGCCATCGTCGAGCTTTGGACAGCGGCATCAGGATGGTATGCCACACCTTGGTAGCACGGTAGCTAAGGCGCGTATGTGTTCAGGAGAGCCCGCACCGTTACCACTGGAGATCCTCCCTCACGGGTCGTCGAGCGTCAGAGAGTGAAGCAGCAGCACGGCGCTGAAAGCTGCCTTTGAGAGTCCGGGAGCCTGTGAAAAATTTATTTCGAAGGTCTTGAAGACACAGAGTCTGGAGAAGGATGCCGGGTGTTCTTTGAGGAACTGTATCTATGTGTCGCCTGAAGCGGAGCACTCCCACAGGATTTGGAAGCAAAGCCGACGATACGTGATTTGACGTCACGCCGCTGCTGAGACTCCGGTGTTGGTCTGGGTTCAGTAGTCATATTTTAAGTCACCCTGGTATGGTAAACGTTGTCCAGCGTTGTTGTTTCATTGTCATATGTAGCTAAGCTGTCGATGTGACGAGGTGAGGCCTATGAACACAAGTCCTGACCTGATGATGACTGGAAGAGTCACAGGTCACATTCACTAATGAGTTGCCATAGCCGTGGGATTCAGCGTTTCAAGCATTACACAGAGCCTTCCCCACTGCCATACCACGTATACTTCCGGGGGATAAAGAGGTCAAAGTCAGCCCCTTTTACCACATTGATCCAGGTTGACCTTTGCTTGCACTGGCGTTTGGTGACACTAACATAATGCGACCCATCCGATGTCCCTTCTTTCTTGACTCTATGAGGCGACATAGTGATTGGAAGGGCTTCAAGGAGAAGCTTCCTCGTCCAGCGCAGGTGAGAAAGCATTCGGCCGCGTAAAGGGTCGGTCAAAACCAGAACCGAGGCGCATGCTTTGGTATTTGAACCTTCTCAAATCTCAAAGCTAAAGCCAAAGCCAACAAAAAACATATGCCAGCCCAAAGTCATTGATCTCGTGTACATGAATGGACAGGTAATCGCCACGCTTAGCATCCGCCGAAGTTGAAGCAATACAATTTGTGAAATTGCGCGCGAGAACTCTTCGTCAGCCAACATCTGTTTGCTGAGCTCTGAGAGCGCTATTCCGATGCTGGTTTGCCCGATGGTCCATGTTTGCATTCCCATACGTGTCTGATTTCATTGCTTATGTTTTGGTGTCATTTACATGGTATCATTCACGTCTGTTATCAACTCGTTCGGCCCGCAGTGCAAAGGGCGTCTTACTGGTAATTAAAGCAATAAACACAGGCAGAAGTTTAAAAAGGCGCCTCCTCACTAGCTGGTTAATGCATTTCAGTAGCTGTTTGGGCGCTGCTGGGCGACTATAAGGATGTAGAGAAATGGGAACCTGCGCTTGCGCAAACAAGCAATGTCAGGAGATGGATAACTCTACCTCACAATGTCTATTCAGTGGTTTTATCGTTGTTGTTGGAAGCGTCGATCATGTGAGGCCATGCTCCTAGCTTCAGCAGCAGAGACAATACCAGCTGATGAGTGCTTACGATCGGGGGACAGTGACGCCCCGGCCAGCGTGGACGTATTTTCTAGATCCGTTGGAGCCTCCTCGGGGTGGACAGCGCATCTTCCATGTCCGCGGAGGAGCCCGACCTATAAGAAGACCGTACCTTTAAGGGACAGCGCCCCTGGGTCTGGTGGGTCCCGTCCCAAGGCGGACCGAGTACCTCTCAGGGAGGGCTGAGCCTTCTCGTGGTGAGGTGGGGGCTCGTCGTTAGGCTCGTCTCGCCTCAGGGCCGACATCTGCTCACTGGGTGGCAAAATCCTTAAAGCTTCAGCATTACGCTTAACAGTATTGTTTGCCCTGAGAGACGCATGTAAAGAATGGTCAAGAAGTCCGAGATATAGTGCGTAGCCCGTCCCAATCATCGTCGGGAAGAGTCGTTGCCGTCACTGTAGCATATTTCGCTTCTAACCACGCGTTCTTCAGTCATACGCGACAAATACATTTTGTCATATCAGCAGAGCAACATGAGTGCAAGATTATATATGAACACAAACAACCCATGTGAAGTCAGCATCGTCCCTGATAGCGGGCTCTCCTACTGCACTTCAGTCACGATCTTCCCCGGTGGTGCGGTGCCACTGCACAACACTTCGCACAAACAATACTGCAATCGCGTCAGCGTTCTCTCTAACGACCGCCCGCACAGGCCGGCTGTTTGCAATGCGGTGTGGCTTCATCTGAGGTAGGTCCCGTGGTTTGATATAGCACAGATGGCCCCAGGTTTGAGGCCACGGTCAACCTCCCCCTGGTCCCGCAGCCCTGAAATGGTCTTTTAAAGCTGCAAGAAGTCTAACCGAAGCAAACCAAACCAGAAGTATCTATAATTTTTCTCCACGGTACAACAATGCCCAGACGCCGGTGAGTGCGATGCAGAATAGCTAAATCTTTTCACCCAGTGAGTCCCTCCCAACGACATTGTCTGCTTATTTTCGCTCCGAAACAAGATGTCATGTGTCTCCCGAGGCGCTGAAGTATTCGAGCCAGGCCTGGCTTGCTATGTCACCGCAGGGGTTACCCTGGGGCTGCGAACTGACGCATGGTGCCACTCGATCAAACTAATGCTCCCGGCGCTCCCAGACCTTCTCTGATGACGGAGTAACTCGGTTACCTGACGCAACACTGAACAGTTTTTGCCTCCAGACTGTGTCAAAGTCGGTGCCTGTCAGGCGCGGTTAGGTTTAGTGATTGATTAATTTTCTATCATTGCAATCTTAACCAATGGTTTGCCACCGGTTACGTTTGCTATGTTCATTACAAACCATCAATAACCAGCCAGTTTTCAGCAGTCACATTCATTACAAACCAATCAATGGGCGTTCTGGGAACGCCTTCCGAAGGATAAAATGGGTGAGAAATTTATGGCTGGAAGTCAGTTTGTCTTATATTTTAGCTTGGTGCTTAAGTAGCTCGTGTCAAATGACATTGGCGGAGGACATGACATCCCCCAGTCTGCAAAATCATGTGAATCGGTCGAATCACACGTCTTTGCTCTTCTCAGGTCTTCGTTCTCATTGGTTTGGTGCTCTCCATCGGTCTTCGGGTGCATCGATCCAACTTAAGTCGAGCTCAGAAGCTGCGGGTGACATCATGACTTTTGGGCCGTCCCAGCAGCTCCATTGGCAAGAGTGCCTGCCTTCCGATTCATCCAGCCGTGTCGGGTGGGTTCGGGCCGCCTTAGGCACTCGCTGCTTACTGCTGACTTGGGGTGCCCTGCGACTGGTAGCAGCAGTCGCACTTAAGGCCAGGTGATGTGAGAGGAAATGATGGACCGTGCCAAACATGGAGGAACATGACGCTTTTCGCTGCAAAATTTTGCCATTGACACGAAATTTTGCGACCGGATAGTGGCGCCAGGGATCACGCAAGAGGCATTGCTAAGCGTGAGCGCTGATCCCGAATCGAAATCCATGAAATCAGATTTCACATAATTCATCCAATCAAAAGGTGAGGACGGTGTTCTCAAAAAGGATTTAGAATGTCCAGATGGCTATCCGTTACCTCAAACTTTTGCTGGCCCGAATGGCTTGGAGCAGCACACACCGTCGACAGCGCCACCTATACCTAGGCGAGACGTGTCACTAGGTAGCGTAACTCGATGATCACGATTAATTCCGCGCATCATTGTCAGCATGCCTGCTCTGGAATTGATGAGCTGGTAACAGCAGGCTCTGCGTAGTGGAGGACGGTTACGTATGTGCACACACACACCACACACACACACACACACAACACACACACACACACACACACACACACACACACACACACACACCACACACACACCACACACACACACACACACACACACACACACACAACAGCACACACACACACACAACCACACACATACACACACCACACACACACACACATTTAATATTATATATATATATATATATATATTTTTAAAATATTATATAGATATATATATATAATATATGTAATATATATATAGATAATATATCTATCTATCTATCTCTCTATCTATCGATCTATCTATCGATCTATCTATCTATCATCTATCTATCTATTCTATCTATCTATCTATCTATCTATCTATCTTCTATCTATCTACTATCTATCTATCTATCTATCTATCTATCTATCTATCTATCTATCTATCTATCTATCTATCTATCTATCTATCTATTTATCTATCTATCTATCTATCTATCTATCTATCTATCTATCTATCTATCTATCTATCTATCTATCTATCTATCTATCTATCTATCTATCTATCTATCTATCTATCTATCTATCTATCTATCTATCTATCTATCTATCTATCTATCTATCTATCTATCTATCTATCTATCTATCTATCTATCTATCTATCTATCTATCTATCTATCTATCTATCTATCTATCTATCTATCGATCTATCTATCTATCTATCTATCTATCTATCTATCTATCTATCTATCTATCTATCTATCTATCTATCTATCTATCTAGCTATCTATCTATCTATCTATCTATCTATCTATCTATCTATCTATCTATCTATCTATCTATCTATCTATCTATCTATCTATCTATCTATCTATCTATCTATCTATCTATCATCTATCTATCTATCTATCTATCTATCTATCTATCTATCTATCTATCTATCTATCTATCTATCTATCTATCTATCTATCTATCTATCTATCGATCTATCTATCTATCTATCTATCTAATCTATCTATCTATCTATCTATCTATCTATCTATCTATCTATCATCTATCTATCTATCTATCTATCTATCTATCTATCTCTAATCTATATCTATCTATCTATCTATCTATCTATCTATCTATCTAATCTATCTATCTATCTATCTATCTATCTCTCTATCTATATCTATCTATCTATCTATCTATCTATCTATCTATCTATCTATCTATCTATCTATCTTATCTCTATCTATCTATCTATCTATCTATCTATCTATCTCTATCTACTATCTAATCTATCTATCTATCTATCTATCTATCTATCTATCTATCTATCTATCTCTATCTATCTATCTATCTATCTATCTATCTATCTATCTATCC